ACCTATGAGGAAGACCAGTTAATGTTATTATTCAAATTTATGCCCCAACCACCAAACCCAGTGATGAGAAAATTGAAAATTTTTACCAATTTCTGCAATCTGAAATTGACTGAACATCCAGTCAAGATGTGTTAATTATCACTGGTGATAGAAATGCAAAAGTTAGAAACAAAGAAGAATCATGGGTAGTTGGGAAATATGGTCTTGGTGATAGAAATGATGCTGGAGATTGCATAATAGAATTTTGTAAGACCAATGACTTATTCATTGCAAATACCTTTTTTCAACAACACAAACAGTGACTATACACGTAGACTTCACCAGATGGAGTACACAGGAATCTGATTGCCTACATCTGTGGCAAGAGGTGATGGAGAAGCTCAATATCTTCAGCCAAAACAAAGCCATGAGCTGACTGGAAGAGATCATCAACTGCTTATATGCAAGTTCAACTGGAAGCTGAAGACAATTAAAGAAGTCCACAAGAGCCAAAATAGGAACTTGATTATATCCCTCCTGAATTTAGAGACCATCTAAGGAATAGATTTGATGCATTGAACACCAGTGATCAAAAATCAGAATTGTGGGATGACATCAAGAGTATCATCCATGAAGCAAAAGGTCATTAAAAAGACAAGAAAGGAAGAAAAGACCAAAATAGATGTCAGAAGAGGCTCTGAAACTTGCCCTTAAATGGAGAGTAGCTAAAGCAAATGGAAGAATTGACAGGCTAAAAGAGCTGAACAGAAGATTTCATAGAGCAGCTCAAGAAGACAAAGTCAATTATTATAATGAAATGTGCAAGGAGTTGGAGTTAGGAAACCAAAACCAAAAACCAAAAGTTAGAAGAACATGCTCGCATTTCTCAAGCTGAAAGAACTGAGGCAAAAATTTAAGCCTGAAATTGCAATATTGAAAGACTCCATGTGCAATATGTTGAATGATGCAGGAAACATCAAAAGAAGATGGATGGAATAAACAGAGTCACTATAGTAAAAAGAATTGGTTGATGATCATCCATTTCAGGAGGTGGCACATAATCAAGAACCAAAAGTACTGAAGGAAGAAGTCAAAGCTACACTAAAGGAATTGGTGAAAAACAAGGTGCCAGGAATTGACAGAATACCCATTGAGATATTTCAACAAATGGATGCTGTGCTGGAGGCACTCGGCTATGCCAAGAGATTTGGAAGGGAGCTACCTGGCCAACTGACTGGAAGAGATCCATATTTGTACCCATTCCAAAGAAAGGTGATCCCACAGAATGTGGAAATTATTGAACTATCATTAATATCACACACAAGTAAAATCTTACTGAGGATAATTAAAAAACGATTGCAGCAGTATATTGACAGGAAACTTCCAGAAATGCAAGCTGGATTCAGAAGGAGACATGGAGTGAGAGATATCATAGCTGATGTCAGATGGATATTGGCTTAAAGCAAAGAATACCAGAAAGTTGTTTACTTGTGTTTTATTGACTGCACAAAGGCCTTAGATTGTGTGGATCATCACAAATTATGGATAACATTGAGAAGAATGGGAATTCCAGAACACTTAATTGTACTCATGAGGAACTTGTACATAGACCAGGAGGCTGTAGTTCGAACAGAACAAGGGGATACTGCACATTTTAAAATCAAGAAGGGAGTGCATCGGGGTTGTATACTTTCACCATACTTATTCAATCTGCATGCTGAGAAAATAATTTGAGAAGCTGGACTATATGAAGAAGAATGTGGCATCAGGACTGGAGGAAGAATCATTAACAACATGCAATATAAAGACGACACAACTTTGCTTGCTGGAAGTGAGGATAACTTGGAGCATTTACTGATAAAGATTAAAGACTACAATCTACAGTATGGATTACACCTCAATATAAAGAAAACAAAAATCCTTACAACTGGACCAATAAGCAGCATCACGATAGATAGAGAAAAGATTGAATTTGTCAAAGACTTCATGTTACTTTGTTCTACAATCAACATCAATGGAAGCAGCAGTTGAGACATCAAAAGACATATTGCATTGGGAAAATCTGTTGCAAAAGACCTCTTTCAAGCACTGAAAAGCAAAGATGTCTCCTTGGAGACTAAGATGCACCTAACCCAAGCCATGGTATTTTCAGTCGCTTCATATGCATGCGAGAGCTGAACAATGAATAAGGAAGACTGAAGAAGAGTTGATGCTTTTGAGTTGTGGTGCTGGCGAAGAATGCTGAAAGTACCACAGACGGCTAAAAGATTTAACAAATCTGTGTGGGAGGAAGTGCAGCTGGAATGCTCCTTGGAAGAAAGAATGGCCAGACTTCATCTTACCTATTTTGGCCATGTTGTCAGAAGTGACCATTCTCTGGAGAAGAATGTCATGCTTGGTAAAGTGGAAGGTTAATGAAAGAGAAAAGGCCCTCAACAAGGTGGATTGACACAGTGACTGCAGCAATGGGTTCAGGTATAGTAGAGATCATGAGGCTGGCACAGAACTGGGCAGTGTTTCATTCTGTTGTACATAAGGTAACCATGAGTCAGAGATGACTCAATGGCACATAACAACACCAACAACAATGGGCAAAATAATGATACAGAAAGCATCAAAAGAAGATGGAAGGAATGTATAGTCACTGTGTCAAACAATTGGTTGATGCTCAACCATCTCAGGAGGTAGCATATGTGATCAAGAACTCAATGGCATTGGAGGAAAAAGTCCAGGCTACACTGAAAGCATTGGTGACAATCAAACCTCCAGGAACTGATGAAATACCAACTGCGATGTTTCAACAAATGAATGTAACAATAGAAGCGCTCACTTGTCTATGCCAAGAAATTTGCAGGACAGCTAACTGGCCAACTGACTGGAAGAGATCCATATTTGTGTCCATTCCAAAGGAAGGTGATCCAACAGAATGCAGAAATTATGGAACAACATCATTAATATCATATATGTGATGAAAGTAATTTTTAAGAAATGGTTGTAGCAGTACATTGACAGGGAACTGCCAGATTCAGAAAAAGTAGTGGTATGAGAGATATCATTGCTGATGCCAGATAGATCTTGGCTGAAAGCCAAGAATACCACAAAGATATCTACCTGTTTTTTATGGACTATGCAAAAGCATTTTACTGTGTGGATCATAACAAATTATAGGTAACATTTCAAAGAATGGGAATTCCAGAACACTTAATTATGTACATGTGGAACCTGTACATTGACCAAGAGGCAGTTTTTCCAACAGAACAAGGGGGTACTGCATAGTTTAAAATCAGGAAAGGGGTGCATTAGGGTTGGATCTTCTCACCAGGCTTATTCAATCTGTAAGCTAAGCAAAAATCTGAGAAGCTGTGTTATATGAAGAAGATTGTAGCATCAGATTGAAGGAATACTCATGTATAACTTGTGATATGCAGATGAGAAGATGATATGCTTGCTGAAAGCAAAGATTACTTGAAGCACTTACTGATGAAGAGGAAAGACTACAGCTTTCAGTGTGGATTGCACCTTGACAAAAAGAGAATAAAAACCTCACAACTGAACCAATAAACATCATGATAAATGGAGAAAAGATGGAAGTTCTCAAGGATTTCATTTTACTTGGTCCACAGTCAATGCCCATGGAAGCAGCAATCAAGAAATCAAGTGATGTATTATTGCCTTAGGCAAATATGCTACAAAAGACCTCTTTAAAATGTTAAAAAGCAAAGATGTCACTTTGAGTACTGAGGTGTGCCTGAGCCAAACTGTAGTATTTTCAATCACTTCTTATGCATGCCTGCCAGCCACTCCTCGGAAGGAAGGTTGGACAATATACTTCTGTAGTGATACTGCCTTGAAAACCCAAGGAGGGTCACTATGAGTAGGATCTGATTCAAGGGCAAATAACAACAACAACTTATACATACAAAACCTGTACAATGAATGAGGAGCACTGAAGATCTGAAGTCTTTCAGTTATGGCATTGCCAAAGAATATTGAATGTACATGGGCTGCTAGAAGAAATCTATCTTGGAAGAAGTACAGCCAGAATGGTCCTTAGAAGCAAGGATGGTGAGAATTAGCATTATATACTTTGGACATGTTATCAGGAAGAAAAAGTCCCTGGAGAAGGATAGCATGCTTGGTAAAGTAGAGGGTTACAGAAAAAGAGGAAGCCCCTCAATGAGATGGGTTGATACAGTGGCTGCAACAATGGGCTCAAACATAGGAAAATTATGATGGTGCAGGACTGGGCAGTGTTTCGTTCTATTGTACAGAGGGTCACTATCAGTCAAAATTGACTATGGGACCTAACAAGAACAAGAGGAGCAATAAAATTACAATTGAAGCGCTCAGAAGATATTGATAAGGTGAGGGAAGGGAGCTAGTAGGATGAAATGAATGAAGATATAAAACAAAGGCAGTAATTGATGGAATAAGACCCTAGAGAAGACAAAAAAGAGGTAACAAGAGCACAGGTCAGAAGCTAATATAAGAGGAGAGAGGGGAAAGGAGATGAGATATCCAATGCAGACAGATGAGTCTATGGAGATGGGAATTGTCAGAACTCTTATTCAATTAACCTCAAATTTTAAAAAATCCTTACATCAACATGTGAGCTTGATCTATTAGTTATCAATGCCATTTTAAAGACAAGGAACCTAAGACAAAGAGGGGTAAAATAACTTTCTCAAGTTTATTCTATAGATAGCGACAGAACCACTGAAGACAGAAATATTCCAGCTTTGATTCTTGGTGCTGTTAATCAGCCTTCATTCTCTCAAATTCAGGATGATAATGGATTTTCTAGGACCTGTACCTAAGGCTTCAATTCTAAGATGAGAGTCCTTCATCACGTGGGTTCTCCTGGATGCAGGTGTAGGTCAGTGGCTCACACTTTGTTTTGTAGTCTCATCAAAGAATTAACTCAGTGTGGGAATTGTGTGTGGGTGTGTTTCAAGTCTGACCCCTTTGTAAACGTGAGTGGGAAAAACACGGTTTGCTTAATGGACTTGAATTGCTTCCAGGTCATCCATTTTCGGTAGCTGTGTTTGAGGATTATCTGTGGTTCTCTGATTGGGCTACACCATCAGTAGTAAGAGTGAACAAAAGGACTGGCGAAAACAGGAGGCGTCTCCGAGGCAGCATGCTGAAGCCCTCATCACTGGTTGTGGTTCATCCATTGGCAAAACCAGGTACACTAGAGATGTTACAGTCTTTCTTTGGCTGGTACCTGTGACTATTTTCATTGTTTGATGATGGGGGAGGAGGTATGCACACACGCACGCACTGTCCTCGAGTTGTAGCCGACTCATAGCGACCCCTCCTTGGGTTTCCGAGGCAGTATCACTATGAAAGTAGATTGCCCAGCCTTAAGAAGTGGCTGGTGGGTTTGAACCGCCAGCCTTCTGGTTAATAGTCAAATGCCTTAGGCACTATGCTACCAGAGCTCCCAGGAGGAGGTAGAGTTTCCAGTTTTCACTAGTCTGGGGAGATGCTGTTAAACTATCATCGGGTAGAGATTATACAGTATAACTCCTTAGTGAATTTTGGTATTATTGCTCCTGTGTCATCTTCTCATCACTATAGTTCCTAAACAGCTTACTTACCTGTTTAGGTCTGCAAAGACCACTGGGTTAAAGGCAGCAAGAAGGGGAGTTTAGACACCTTCCACCTACACTAGGGCCTTTCTCCACTCACTAAGAGTGGCAATGAGTGAGTGTCAGTCAGGAGCAAGCAAATGGAAAAGGCATCTGAATCTAACAGCAGCTCTTCTGGCTGAATTGCCTTTTGTCAGTTATACTCAATAAATAGTCAGAACGTAATAACTTTCTGAGCTTATCTTAGTGACTTCTTACAGGAACTCTTTTGAAATAGCTCTTGTTACAAGATTCATTTAGACCTACTGAGTTTCTCTCCCCAGAAGCAGTTTGACTGTGATTTGTAGTAATGGTATCCTTTTCATCTCCAAGCACATCTGTGAATTTGCTTTTTCCCCCCACTAGGAGCAGATCCCTGCTTACATCAAAATGGTGGTTGTGAACATATTTGCAAAGAAAGGTTTGGAATTGCTTGGTGCTCATGTCATAAAGGTTTTATGAAAGCGCCAGATGGGAAAACATGTCTGATTCTGAATGGTCTTCAGATATCAGCAGGTAATGTGATATATTTATGTAACTAAATGATCTTACCTTGGCTCAGGAACAGAGTTCTCTACCATCCCTATACTTTTGCTGATTTTTAGTATTTTATGTTATTAAAAGCTCCCCCACTTTTAGGGATACTAAGCGTTTTTTTTTTTTTTTTTAACCCTGATACATTTTGGGATTCTTTATTGCAGATTTAAGTCAATTGACTTCCTTTAATTGTAAAATTAATGAAGAAAAAATAATATTCAAAGTCTTAAACTCCATTCTCCCCACCCCTAAGAGTAATTACAATGGAACAGTCCTGGCTTGGAAATAAATGCCAGCATCTTACCACTAGGAGCTCTTGTGGGGTAGTGGTTAAGGCTTTTGGCTGCAAATCAATGGGTCTCTGGTTCAAAACTATCTAGCCCCTCTGCAGAAGAAATATGAGACAGTCTGATTCTGTAAAAGAGTTGCTGTGAGTAGGAATCAACTTGATTGCAGGGGATTTTGATTTTGATCTTGCCACCTCACAAAAATATTTAGAGATATTTTGTCTCTAAAGGTAGTAATACACAATCCTGAGATCGTGAGTGGTGCACATGGCTTGGCTGCTAATAGGTTGGAGGTTGTAGTGCTCCCAGAGGTGCCTTAGAAGAAAGGCCTGGAAAATTAGGATCAGGGAGGTTCCGGCAAGATGGCGGACTAGGCAGAAGGACTGCACAGACCCTCTTCAACAAAGAAAAGGGAAACCAATTAACACAGACACAGAAGATAATCTTGGACCCCTGAGCCTTGAAG